AGTCTTTACTCTCTTGGAAGTCTAAGAAACAGTCTACAATCTCCAGGAGTTCTGCTGAACCAGAATACAGAAGTCTGGCATCTACTGTTGCAGAAGTTACATGGATACTTGGTCTCTTTCGCGAATTAGACATACCTACTGTCTTGCCTATTGTTGTATATAGTGACAGTACTGCTGCTATCCAAATTGCATCCAACCCTGTTTTCCATGAGAGGACAAAACACATTGACATTGATTGTCATTTTATTAGAGAAAAGGTTCAAAGAGGTGATATATCCATTCAACATTTGGCTACCTCTGAACAACCTGTTGATGTACTGACTAAAGGACTTAGTCGATTGCAACATGAATATCTGGTTTCCAAGCTCGGAATGAAGAACATCTTCATATCTCCTAGCTTGAAGGGGGGTATTGAGGAATATGCTAAGAGTATTGATAAGAGTTGAATAACTAGTTTGTTAGTGTTCAATTAGTTAGTTAACTAGTTGTTAATGTGGCTTGTTTAGTTTGTTAGCCAGCTGTCATTTTGTTATATGTTCATTTACATTGTTAGTTAATTAGATAACTGTATATATATGTGAGTATTATACATTGTAATAGTTAGTTAACACATTGTAAAAGGCATGAAGGAGAAATTCTCTCCATAACTTCTTCCTTCTTCTTTTTCTCCTTCCTTTTCTTCAATCTTCCATTGTCGATTGTTTAATATCAACAAATTGTCAAGTAAGTTCTCGTGCTCGGTGCATTTTCCAGGTATCTTTTCGAATGGTGGCATTGTTCGTTCGATATAGCTATGCATTTTGCTAGCATGCATCGAGCACGAGAGTATTGAGGTTCAAAGTACACACAGTCCATCCAATTCTGTCTCTAACATACGGAAGGAAAGAATCTTCGAGATGTTTCGAAGATACTGGTAATACTATCCAGAAGATTTAAGATGAATTTTTTGGCTTTATAGTACTTTTGGTGTAAAGAAGAACTTGTATGATGAACTAGGAAACTTTTGTTTGCAGTATAATGGAATTTAACTTTTAAGTCTTAACATCTATGATAATTTTAAGCGGGAAAAAAAGGGTTTTAAAATGTCCCTAACATGTTAAAAATAATATATAAATCAACAACAGCATACCCTGTGAAATAATATAGAGATAAAAGTTGAATAACATTCTTCTCGAATTTTATTATTATTATTATTATTATTATTGTTATGGCTAAATACATAAACAGATCCCTAAACTTGTTGAGTTTTTTCCCTCGGGTATCTCAACTACGTCATCTTTCTATTGAATCATTGAATCACTCATAATTTGTTCCTCTAAAACACTGTTGGTTGATTTTAATCGGCTTTTCTATTGTAAATGCCTTCAATTGTTCGAATTATAATAATTATGATTGAAGGAATGAAGACAAACCGTGTTAGTCTCATTTATTTTCTAATATGTTCAAATGACTCAAGTAAAATACAATTATTCTTGAACATTTTCACTATCAATTGGACTAATGAGTTGTGGAACAACATATGTATCCTCTATCAATGCCCCTCATAAATCTGGTTCCACATCAGACAACGGTTATTATGGAGATTCAATGATTCAATAGAAAAATGACGTAGTGAAGGTATAGGGAAAAAACCCAACAAATTTAGGAATTTGCTTCTGTATTTGGCCTGCGAAAGAATAAACATGTTTGGTAATAAAATTCTCCTAAGAGCCTGTTTGACTCAGCTTAAAAGCTGGTCAAACTCATTTAAAAGCTCGTTTTTGACTTATTTAACTGTTTGAAAATATTCAAAATAACTTATTTTAAGCCAAAAATTAAAAGCTGGGGTAGAGGTGTTTTTTTTTTTAGCTTATAAGCTGTTTTAAGTTGATCACATTTTTATCTTTTTGCCCTTAATATTTTTATACAATCTCCAAATTACCCATATAACCCTAACATCTCTTTCTTCCATTATCCAAACGCATAACTAGTTTCAGCACTTTCAAAGTACTTTTTTAAAAGCTGCTTTTATTAAGTTCATCCAAGGCCTTAAATCAAGTTAATTAAAGATTTCTTTTTAAAAAATGGTATTTAAATTACGACGTCGTTCTATTGTTGACTACTCAGCCGAGTATAGCGTGTTTTCCCTCTGAAAATTTCTTCGATTATCGGTGGAATTTGCAGAAATGGCGGATCGGTTTTACCCAAATGTAATGCCGGATTTTGTTGCAGAGAATCCGGCGATAGAAGAAGAACAACATCCAAATCCGCAAGGAACGAATGAATCATTGTTGAAGCTTCTCTCAACACCGTACCACATTCTATCAAAAAAGTTCAAACGCGCAGCTCTCGATCTCAAAGAAACTGTAAGCAACTTGATATTCAATGTTATTAATAGACATAATTTTTAATTTGCGCATAGTTGAGGTAGGAAAATAGAGCAAATTATGATTGAGATATGAAACTCTGTTCTGATGTGTTTTTGACGGTTGACTCTTATTAATAGTCTATTTGATCAAAAGATGATAAGAGGATGGAATAGCAGAAGATGTTTTTTTTGTGTTCTTTTGGAATGTTGGTCAAGAATAACTTGTTGATCAAATATTAGTAGAAGTGTTTTTCAAATTGATTAGTCAAACGTAAACGGTTACTCTTCGAAAGTACTTTTTTTTGTTTTGGAAAAGACTGGTTTAATAAATTACTTTTTTCAATTGAGTAGATTTTGGAAGCTTGGTCAAACAGGCTATGAATAGCTAAATGACATGAGGCCTAATATGGTTGATTTTAGCTATAGTTTGAGTTTGAGGTGTAATTGTTGTTTTTGACAAAGTGATGTTTGGTGCGGTTGCTGACAGATAGTGGCGGAGACATGGGGACTAACAAGGCAACAGGTTCCAGATTTTACGCTTTATTGTGGAACCCTTGGGACTGCTTTTTTGCTCTTCAAAGCCTATCAGGTGACGAAGAACACGAATGACCTTGCTGTTTGCTCTCAGATTGTTAAGGATTGTGACTCTGCTTCTCGACACTCAAGGTTTGCGCTTGGATCTGGGGAAAGTCCTATCCTTTCTATGTTCTATGCATTGTGGTTCATTTAAAGTTTTCAATGACGATACATCATCAAAATGAACTTCTTTTTGTTGTTTTTTTTGGTTGTTACTTTGATCAATATCTCGCACGCCTTTTTTGGTTTCCAATTGAAAGATTCAAATGGCGTCAAGATAAGAAATGGGGCCTTTTTTTAGTTGATTTATGTGTTAATTGGATCCACGAGTTCTAATTATTTGGCATCCCTTTGTGGGGTTTTCAATGTAAAGCTTCAATTGACAGCAATATGAGGAAAATGGACTTTTCTAGTATATGTTTTGTGTTACTTTGGATAAAATGATCTTGAGGGATGTGATGACTTCCTGGCTTTTCAATTTAAAGCTTCAAATGGCAACCGGATAAACAAAATGTCCTTTTTTTGGGTTGATTATTGTGTTAATTTGATCAATGAATTATAGGGATGTGACGTTCCTCTGTGGGAGAGCTGGGGTTTGTGCACTAGGTGCCGTCGTTGCCAAGTACATGGGTGATGATCAATTGGTTTTCTACTATGTATCTCAATTTAAAGAGGTTTGGTTTTGATAGCTTATCGTTAGACTTTCATATTGAAGGTTTGTTTCATATAAACTTCCGTCTGTGTTTTCCTTTACGTGATAGGAAGACAAAACGGAAGCTTATAGCTAGATTTTCATATTGAAGGTTTGTTTTATATAAGCTTTTGTTCTATTTCCCTTTACATGATAGCTTACAAGATACACATTCGGTTCTATGAGCAGATAAAATTAACCAAAGATCTTCCTGATGAATTGCTGTATGGTAGAGCTGGATACCTCTGGGCCTTTCTATTTATAAATAAGCACATTGGCCAAGGAACAATTCCTTCTACCTACACTGTAAGTGCAACAATAAGTTCTTGTAATCTAAGCGGGAATCAGTCAGGCGATTGTGGTGTCCAATCCAGACTTATCCTTTCTTGACGGTGTCTTAGGCTGCTGTGATCGATGAAATCATCAAGAATGGAAGAAAATTGGGCGGAAAGGGCAGAAGCCCATTGATGCATGAATGGTATGGTGAGATGTACTGGGGTGCAGCTCATGGATTGGCTGGAATTATGCATGTTCTGATGGACTTTGAACTGAAACCCGATGATCTTGAAGATGTCAAAGGGACATTAAAGTACATGGTAAAGAATCGGTTTCCCAGCGGAAATTACCCTGCAAGTGAAAATGATAGGAGGAGAGATTTACTTGTGCATTGGTGCCATGGAGCTCCTGGGATTGTGCTAACACTTGTCAAGGCAGCTGAGGTGATATAACCCTTTAATTATATTTGCCTCACATGCCTTTATGTATGACATCATACTGATCGCTAACACTTGTCAATGCCAGGTTTTTGGAGACGAAGAATTTATCAATGCAGCTGTAGCTGCAGCAGAGGTAGTATGGAACCGCGGCCTTCTTAAACGTGTTGGGATTTGTCATGGCATCAGCGGGAATGCTTATGCCTTGTTATCTCTGTATCGGCTCACAGGAAATGCGGAGTACTTGTATAGAGCCAAAGCTTTCGCCTGCTTCCTTCTTGATAGAGCTCACAAGCTAATAGCGAAAGGAGAAATGCATGGAGGAGATACCCCATACTCCCTTTTTGAAGGTATTGCAGGTATGGCTTATCTTTTCCTAGACATGCCAGATCCAAAAAACGCCCGATTTCCTGCCTATGAGTGAAAACTTCATAGAACTCGGAGAGCAAGGCATAGTAGCAGTTCTCTTACAGGTATAGCAAATTCTCTTCTGTGATATGTATCTAAATCTCTTCTATTCCATTTGCATGTTAGACCAGATTCAAAATGATTCAATGAAAGTATAACAGGAAATGTTGCTGTAAAGTATGTAGAACCGAGGCATCCAAAACGCCCAAAATCCGCTTCAGCTCGCCCTGGTTCCTGCAAAACATAGGCGAGGCGAAGCCAGATATTTCTAACTTTATGAGTTTTGAATTTTAGCTTAACTTACTAGTAAAATGTGCAAGTGTTAGTCAGAGCTAGTAATACCCATCATGAGTTGGGACTTTAAATTGTGTTTGTTAGGTAAACAAAAAATATTATTCAATATATATAATTTAATATATGTAATATAGAAAAGGGTGAAGGATCATATTTGCTCCTCCTCTACAATTGAAAAGGATTTAATATTATATCAGTTTATACATTAACATATTCGGTGTAATTCCATAAGTAGGGTCTAAGAAGGATAAGATGTACGTACCAGAGAGGTTTCTAACAAACACTCGAATCAAAAGAAGTTTGATCAAAACAGGATTAAAAGAAATACGACAATAAAATAGCAAGATGAACAAGGCAAAGGAACAACATGTAGTGATATTATTATTTTTTAACGAATCGGAGCAACAAACAGGAATAACCCTAAAATGGAAAATGAGAGAAGATTACTCCTTGTCTCTTTCCACACAAAAGTACTATAACATTCGGTTATCTACTACAGTTCCACCCTAATCCTCGAGGAGTTCATATTTTTTAAAAATATGTCATATTCTGTTTAATCACTTTTCTTTTCGTGATTTTATCCTTTTAATATTATACTATCTATTCATATATGCTTTAAAGTTATAAAAGCGACTCAAATTTGCCTTTCCAACAAGCTCATTTATTTTAATCAAAATGACATGTCAACTCATCACATCAACTTTTTATCTTCCACCACTATCCAATCAAACACTAGAAAATAACTTACTAATGATAAACCTTCATTAAAAAAAATTATAGTAGAAGTCATCGATTTACGAAATAAGGAGTGAAGTAAGAGCCAGGAAATCGATAAATAATCTTGGTAAAAATCATGCAATTTCACCTAGTGGACGTTTAATGAATCAATCATGTCAAGTAAATCATCAATAAGGTCCTTGAATATCGTTAACTCGGGATATGTAGGCAACTCTAATATGTTCCAATTTCTGCAAAGTGAAGCTTGAGTCCTCTTACATGAATTTTCTCCATTTTTTATGTGATTATACTAAACAAAACGTAATATATAAGAAAATTAAAAAATTATATAATATTTAAAAATTATGATCTTAACTAATTTAAATTTGCACCACATAATAATACTATGTATATTAAATGGGGAAGTGCTCCTAGTTTTTTCATTCCAAGGATAAAATCTTAAATCTCAGATTCAGAATAATGAGACATATCTTATTCATTTAACAACAATTTTTAATGATTAAAAAAACAAGGTATGTGCATCATTATTTCAGTTCAAATAATTAATTGGGTAATTTTCTTAGTTAAAACAACACATTATTTTAAAAAAGAAGGAAATATTTGCAGTTTGTAATCAAACCTTAAGCTATAATTATGAGAAGTCTGGTCTTCACAAATTACATTTTTTGAAAAATAAAATAGAATATGTTGATTTTTCAAAATAATTTTTTTGGGCGGATGAATTTGTTAATTGATTTAATTTATTTAAAATGTGACCAATAGAGAATTGCCACATATTTAAGGTTTTGATTAAAATTATTTAAATTAATGATTTTTTTTTAAAAAATAATCAATATTGAATCAAAAGTCGGATGTAAAGAGTATTTGAAGCTAATAAATAAATAAATGGTAATTTTATACCCTTTTTTATAGTTCGAATGTATTTTAGGTTTTTTTTATTAATTATTTATATATTTAATAAAACTTTTAAGCTCTAACTAAAAGTACTAGGAATCATTGGGTGGGTGTAAAAGAGATAATTTTAAATATAGTGTATTAGTACAATTGATATTGGGTATGCTAAATTTATTTTTTATAAATAGTTGATTTAGTATATTAAAAATTACATATATGCATAATTTCTAAATACTATATATACTTACCAAAATACATTCTACAAATACAATAATTTTTTTTTAAGTATAATATATAAATGTGTTCTTAATTTGGCTTCAAATTACATTTATATCCTTCAACTTTGAATTTGCACAAATAGACACTTAAATTTGTATAAAGTTGGACAAATAAAAACACATGTCCGACACGTCATTTTTTGTCTTATATGGTGTCATATGTGTATTGTGTTATGTAGGACTTATTTGTTTATTTATTTAAAAATTGAATAGTTAAAATGTCTGTTTGTGTATTATTAAAAATAGAGATCAAAATTAAAATTAAAATCTAAATTTAAAATTCAATAAAATTTAAATTCAATGTATTATGTTTTTTTTTAAAGAGCAATGGATAACTTTAATCATACATTAAAAAGTACCTTTCATAACGCGAGATAATCACATAATCATTCAATTATTAATAATTTTTAAAAATCAAAACACAACTATTGATAATTTGATATCTATAAACTCAATTCAATTAATTTAAATGATTTTTTTATTATTTTCATTTTTTATTAAAAGGCAAGTCTTTGATTAGCAAAAAAATGCTTTTAGCATCTGCAAATTGTAAATTTAATCTGCAAAAATAGCTATAAATTAGGCGATGTTTTAGCAACATGTCTGGTTATGGAAGCAGAAAATGTGTTTCTTGATTTCTCCATTGATGTCCTCCTTCTTCTCCATCACTTCTGCTGTCTGTCATCAACAGTTGAATCAAGAACATGGATTTACCTTAATCTATGCCATAAAAGGTACATGCCCCTTTTTTTATGTGAGCTCCAAAGGTGCAAACTTGATATCTTTTTGGGGATTTTCACCATTTCCTATTGAATCAGGAACACAAATTTCTCTTATTATATAAAGGGTGATATCTTTTTTGTATGAATGCTGTAAAGATGCTAACTTTATGCCTTCTTTGGGTTTTTACTCTTATACAGAATAGTTGAATCAAGAACACAAATTTCTTTAATAACACAAAAGGTTGATACCATTTTTCTTATGTATGCTGTAAAGATGCAAACTTTTTGTCTTTTTTGGGTTTTTACTCTTACACAGAATAGTTGAATCAAGAACACAATTTTTTCTAATAACACAAAAGGGTGATGCCCTTTTTCTTATGTATGCTGTAAATATGCAAACTTTGTTCTTTTTTTTTTTGGGTGTCATCATTACCCAGAACTGTTGAATCAAGAACAGAAATTTCTCTTATTATATGCTGATTAAAGGTGGTGCCCACTTTTTCTTGTTTGTGTATGTGCATGCAGTTTGAAAACTTAATATATTCTTTTTGTCTTATGTAATGATGTTATTTGTTGGATGTAAAAAAAGAGAGGAAGTATCTAGATTACCAACTTTTTCCATAATTGTGCACCTGTAATGAAGGCAATTAAACAAAAGTTCCCTTTGATTGTGGTGTTAATCTCTAATTTGTTTGTAATTATCCCACATTTCTCTTCTTCTTTTTTTTCCCCTTTTTGGAGTTAAATTATTTTGGTGATTGAAGTAAAGAGTGAGGATTGGAATGATGATAGTTTGAAATTGTAAGAAGGAAGCATGGGTTAGTGTAATCATTTGAACAACTGTTTATTATCATTCGTGTTTAACCTTTTTTTGTTTCTGTTTGAAACTTTGTGAAAAATTTTGATCTCCCAACAAATTTTATTTCTAATGAGATTAAGGCGTAGCCAATGCATTCTTTCTTGTACCTCCTACTACAAAGTAAGCTTCTTTTATCCTCATTCTTCTAGCTGTTCTTCTTGGAATCCTTGTATTTCGTTCGACGTTTGGGTATTTATAGCTTGGCTTAGTGCAAGCATAGTTGAACGGAACAGGTTGAATTGAGCAAAATGGAAGTTGATGATTTGGGGTTAAAGGATTCCAACTAGTTTTGGATTGAGGTGTACTAGTCTCTATTATCGAATGCAAGTGTAGTTGAACAGAACAGGTTGATGAGAATGAATGATAGGCTTTATCAGTTCACACTGCCATTCTTGAATCCCATTGGCAGTGTGAGTTGTTTTGGTTATCTTAGGAAATATTTGATCTTGATATTTATAATGTTTCCTCTTTCTTCTTGTTCTTTTCTTGGCATCATTTCAGTTTTCTGAAAGTTTGGTTGTTTATAGTTTGGTTAAGTGCAAACATAGTGGAGTGAAACGGGTCAAATTGAACGAAATGGATGTTGATGATTTGTATTCGCGTACCCCAACTAGTTTGGGATTGAGGTGTAGTAGTTTTTGTTAAATGAATGTAAAGCATAGTTGATAGGACTGAAGTATAGGTTTCATCAGTTCACTCTGCTATTCTTGAATCCTTTGGCCATGTGGAATGGAAGTATAGGTTTCATCAGGCAAGATTTGATCTTGAAGTCCTAATGATTACTCCTGTGCTTAAAAAAACTTACTTTGACTGTGGAACAACTTATCATTCTATTAGATTGTACTATAAGATATAGATCTTAGATAGATGATCGGATGATTGAATTGTCATCCCGAATTGTACGGGTTGACTTGAAGAGCATTAATTAGCAACTTTCTGCTGAAATCATAGTTTGATAGCCAAAGTAGATGATTGAATTCTGTCACATTTTTTCATTAAGTTGTGTCATTTACTTCCATTAGCAATTTATAATAAAGCAAATGGCACTTCTATTTTAATTTTACCTCACAGAACGTATGAATTCAGGCTGATGAAGATGAAAGTAATTGGCACCGAAAGAAGCTAGATGAGGAGCCAGCATGGTCACATAATCCTCCACACGTAATTTCACAGTTTGCTCAGTGCTTTAGTGAGTGCAAATTATTTTTCTAGGTTACCACGTAAAATGATTTCATTGACGGTGTCTGCATCTGTATTATCTTTACCTACTGTTTGGAAAAGTTTCTCCTAGGTGTGCAACTGGAGTGTATTTCAATATTTCAATCCTTCTTATTTTTTTTTTGTGAAATTCACAGTACAACAAATATGTGATTTTGTGATGTCTGTGCTTGTACACTGCAAGTTTCGGGAAGGTCCAAATAGAAATTGTTATTTTGAAAAGCCATTTGCCATAACTTTTTTTACAACAAAACATTCGGGACGTCAAGTCTCCTTTTTGCTATATATATGTGAGGCTGAGCATCTTTCATCACCAGTATTACTAACCAGGAAGAAGTCTTCATATTTAGTTGTAGAGGCTGGATAAGCACAACGGGGCAAGTATACGGCCTAATTAGGAGCTTGAGCATGGTATATGATAGATTAGTGCATGGAGTAAACTACAACGTGAAGCATAGTGAAAAGGACTTTAATATAAACTTCAAGAAGCATCTCTTAGATTCTTTTTTGTTAGGGCTGTTGTTCCTTTTACTTAATATGTAAGCGAGATGTGTACATTTCCATTGTTATTTGTTCATTTCACTTATCAATTTTTGATTGCTGTAGCTAATGCTATGGTTGGACCACGAGCATGGATAGGAGGAATCTTCAACCGCTCGAGCAATAAACGACTGGGAAGCGATAAATATCTTAACTACCCTTTAACTCCTCATCAGGTAAACCAAAGAGCCATTTTGGCATTTGAGGTAATCTTACCTCTTTTTCGTGTCCCATCTAGTTGAATGAGTTCCTTTGTTAAGTGGTTCTTTCTGTTGGTAGAAATTTGTTGAGACTGTTTTGGAAATTTTATTTTACTTCCCATTGTAATTTATACCTTCTTAACATTGTGAATTTTTGCATGTATATTTAATTTCTGCCAGGAACAAAGCTTACACGGGCTTCAAGAACGGCTAGGAGTACCTTTTGATGAAGCACGCCTAGATCATCAAGTATTTCCAAAATGCTTGTTCTGTTTTTATATCGTGCTAATTTTGGTTTAGTTACCATAAAACAATATTTATAGATAGTGAAATTGCAATTGCTACCGTTACGTAGAGGTGTTTTTTCATTAGGGACTTGGAATACTATATTTATTGATCCAAGTTATCTATCATATTGTTTTAAAAAGATATGTAGTTGTGTACACTTAATATGAAAATCGTTTATACTAGATAGACATACTTTTCAGGATGATATAGAATTATTACAACAAGATATTGAAACTTTTGAGATAACTAGTGATATTGCACCACCAAAACAAGCTATGCACTAGTTCTTGAAATAAACCTGAAGTTTACATATAGGCCATAGGCACTCTCATTAATTCAATATGCTGAAATTTTGTAAGAAATCACAAAAGCATTCTGTCTCTCTGATTTCATGGAAAGCATCGACATCTCTATTAAATTACATTTTATCTCAAATTTTAGCGATAATATCAGTATATTTTTTATCACATCACAGTAGTAACTTGGTTATAAAAGTTGAAAAGATTGTATCTCTGCATTTTTCTTCTTGATTTTGTTTCTATCTGTACCTGCATCTCTTTCGAATTATAATCTCATTTATGTTTTTCTGGTTACAATCTGTATTTTAGAACATAACTGACTCCAATCTCCAGGAAGCTCTTCGAGATTTATGGAATGCAGCATTTCCAAATGTTAAGCTTAAAAGTTTGATCTCCGAGCAATGGAAGGATATGGGTTGGCAAGGAGCAAATCCATCAACTGACTTCAGGTCAAGTTCACCCTTTAAGATGTTAAATGTTTCGTCAAGACATGTCGATACTTTGGTCGCTTTTCATAGCAAGAAATGTGTAAAGACCTCTTGGAAGTGGAGATCGTTTATGTTTTTCAACTGTATTAATTAACATGAGTAGTATTGCTTTTTCATCTCCAGAGAAGAAGGTATCCAACTATGCATTTGCAACGCTTGTCTAATTGCATTTCTATAACAATGAGTAGATAACTAAGGATTAGAGAGAAGTGATTGATCATCTTGTTCACTTTTAACCAATGTAAAGTAATAGTGAGATAGTGAGATATTTATGTCTCATTTGTAAAATCTTCTTGTTGCAGGGGTTGTGGATTCATTTCTCTCGAGAATTTGCTGTATTTTGCAACAAGATATCCGGTATGATTGTTCGGCTGTTCTGCAAAAAGCTTAAGCTGCTAAAACTGGTTTCTCTTTAGGTGCTCGTAGTATGATTGTCACATAATAACATAACTAATTGTGGATATTCAAAATCAAGGCATGTTTTCATAGGTTGCTTTTCAAGCAAAGTGGATTGAGAGCAACATGGGAGTATCCATTTGCAGTTGCTGGAATTAATGTTACATTCATGTTGATTCAGATGCTCGACTTATTCTCAGGTAGATAGTGTGCTGCAAATTTGTGTAACTGCTCATTGGAATGATCTTCAAAAATCAGAAAAGCTAAACATTGAGAAATGACAATTCTACTGAAGATTCTCTTAATGTTTTAAGTACTCCCTCCATTTCAATTTGTTTGTCTGGTTTTGACATTGACACGATGTTTAAGAAAGTAAAGATATGTAAAATATATCAAAATGTCCCTAACGGACTAAAGGAGAGTAAGACTAATGGAGGGAGTAATTCGTACTTACTAAAAAATCATCTCTTATGTTGCTTGTATTCTCCAAAATGTTGTTGCACTCCTATCGGATCCTGCAAAAATGCTTTGACTTTTAAAGAATTCGACTCACAGCCAACAACATTTTTGGAGAGTACAAGCAACATAGACCATCTCCTCTGCTTTCAGATATCGAAATATTACATTTTTTCTTATCTTATCTTCTTTTTTTCTGCACTGATTTATGGCTGGTTTTTCTCTGAGTTTTCGTTTTCTCTACTAGTATCTAAACTACTTTTCAGCTGGAAATCATTATGATTATTCTTGGAATTTAAAAACCGTCTGCGTTTTAGCATTAACTGAAATATATGAACAGACATTAATACTTCTTTTTCTCTTGCAGAAAAACCAAAGTGTCTTCCAGGATTAAATTTTGTCAAGTTGATAGGAGGTAAGCCAGTCAGGTACATAGAAAATTAATTAAAGTACTTGTGAATCGCTGTTCTCTTTAGATGAACTTTGCTTTCTGGAAAAAACCCTGCAGAAGATGACGAGGCGTTTGATGTTCTATACTGTATAGCATTTGCGATGATGGATGCGCAGTGGCTGGCTATGCGTGCTTCATACATGGAGTTTAATGTACACACACACTCTCTCACTCTCTATCTATCTCTGTATGTATGTGTACACGCGCATCTCTCTCAGTAAGTTACACGTAAGCTCTGTTGACCATACGAGGAGCATGTCACGAGCTTATGGATTAAAGATCAACGTGTGTGATTTTAGAAAATGTTAATGCTGATTATTTTCTTTGTACATAGATGAAGAAAGGCATATGAAAACGAAACGAGCAGTTTGATCTGTTGTTCATCTTAGATGAATTTGTAGCTTACACTCTCTTCTATGGTTTCTACTAAACGGTTTTTGTGTCTCATTCCATCAGAACGTTTTGCAAGCGACGAGGATGCAGTTAGAGAGGGAACTATCATTAGATGATATACAAAGAATAGAAGATCTGCCAGCATTCAACCTGATATAGTAAACACACTTCTTCTTCCCCTCTATGTTTTTGCTCGGATTCTTCAATAATGTTGACCGGTGGTGTGTGTCGGAGAGGATCTGACACTGGTACAACAACATTTTTGTAGTATCCGAGCAACATAAGTTTTAAAGAATAGTCAGTGTGTTATAAAATGATTTTAGATACATCCAATAGCCAAAACCTGAAGAGTTTTGTACAAAAGTTGATGGTTTTGGCAACTCAATATGAATTTATATAGAAAAATTGAAGTGCTTTTTAACTTTTTTTCTTAATTTCGTTTTGTATAATATTGGATTGAGATTAGTTTAAATACAACGATATAGACATTGAAGATATATATATATATATATAATTATATAATATGATTTTATTATATTGTATTTGAATTGAGGATCTATCGAAAAATAACATTTTACCTTTATAAGAAAGGAAAAAGGTTGGGCATTCTGCTTAGACCTCACTTATGGGATTATATCGGGATTATATCGAATATGATATTGTTATAAAAATATTATAGTAGTATTATTGGTAGCTCAGTTGTTAATAAATTGTGATTTTGACATACTAATTTGTTAATTAATAATATATATAATTTTGGTCCCTAGTATATAATATGGAGGCACAATACAATTAAATGGTAAAACACTTTAATAATTAACGTGAATAATATTTGTGAATATTCTCAAGTAAAAGAATTTAAAAGAGTGGGAGATGTCACTTTTAGTCCCTCAATTAATAGTTAATTGTAATTTTAATTCCTGTAATATATGACACAATTAATTTAAATGTACGCTTTCGATTTCTTTATGTAGAATAAATATGTTTAACTTAGACTATTTTTAAAAGTATATATTCTCAAATATGAAGTAACAATACAAGCTTAACATAACGCATAAATGCATAAATAGTGGAAGGTTAATAATTCTGAATTTATAATAAATATTCATAAACAGAAGAATTAAAAATACACATTTTTTAACCAACAAAAAATTGCATATATCAAGAAAAATAAAAGCAAAGATAAATGGAAGATATTAGTAAGAATCGAACTTACCAACACGAGTTATTTAACCTGTGATAGGATGATTAGGATCGATATATTCTTAGTTAAATTGAGTTCTCGAGTTTGGATTCAAACTCAAACTTTTGACAAATAAAAAAAAGTATACTAAAAATATTATAACTTATAATATGCGAATTCAAATTATTCAAAACTTTCGTATACAACACTAGATTATGAGATTTCATTTGTTAATTAGTGGCATAATTTTGCAAAGTGGACCTTTCTTATGCTCAAGAAGTCAAGGATATCTAAAACATTTTAATTAATAAATTGGACACACAATTAAGTGCTTGATTAATACTACTTTGTAGTTTGTACATTATCCTAGGAACAAAAAATTAGGTAAAAGTCCAAGATAATTAATTCCATGTACTTCCAATGAGATAATTAATGGACGCAAAAAGTCGAAACCTAACTCTTAAAAGTGTTGAATGACTTCGCCGCCCCGTCGATGTGTCTGCTTTATGTTAAGAATATTTTTGTAATTTCAAATCTCTTTGTTAATACATTTGTTTTATGTCGACGATATGTTTGAAATACCAATGTTTTATATATCTTAAAGAGAAAAATGTACAAGTATCCCCTTAATCTAAGTTGGAAATCTCAGAGTCACTATTATATTATAAAAAGGTTCTATTATCCTCCTGAACTTATTTTATAAGTAATTTTCTATCCCTTTTCGGCCTACGTGGCACTAGCTTGAAAAAAAAGTCAACCAGCATTGGGCCTACAAGATAATGTCAAGTAGACCGAAAAGGGATTGAAAATTGTAATAAAATAAATTCAGGGGGTAATATGACCTTAGTATAGTATAAGTGTGTCTCTGAGATTTCGAACATAAGTTGAGGAGGTACTTGTGCATTATCCCTACTTTAAATGTGTTTTACAAATGACTTTTCGCTTTTAGTTGAGTTTTAACTTCTACATCAAAATATCGATAACATCATTAAATATTTATCAAATAAGAATATACGACACTTCTTTTGAATTGACTACAAAATAAATGTGTTATGTAAATTGAGACAAAAAAAAATACGTAAAACCACTTTTAATATAATTTGTTGAGCCAAATTTAAGGATTTTTCTTTTATAATAATTAAGTTTACAGTTAAATATTTAGTATAGTAAAGTAAAACGATAGATTAAGGACCTAATAACTGATTCTCTTTCAAAAAAAATATTACTTATAAATTAAAATCGAACTTAAAAATATATTTGATTGATCGAATATTCGATCGATAAATATTCAATCGCATTATCGTACCAATGTTGAATGTTCAACTTTAGTTAGATCTCTTTTTTTTTTCTCAATAAAAACAAATAAATAAAAAATTCCAACAACTGATGGCTAGAATCTATCTCTCATTTTGAATATTTTTGTATTTTACCTAAAAAAAGTTCTTTTTTTATTATTATTTTTTCAAATCATGACTTGTGTGGTGAGATAATTTAAGAATGTAAGAGAGTAGATAATATATTTTATTTTTATTACAATAGATAAGAATTTAGTACAAGCACATAGTTTTGAAATAGTGTATTAAAATACATGTTTCCTCATGTCCATTTTAAACATAATTTTAAATTTAAAAAAAAAGTAACTCGATGCATTAAGTTAGCAAAAAGAAAATATTAACATGATTAATAAAGTTATTGTCAAGTGATTATAAATTACGAATTTAAACTATAAAGAAAAGACATTTTAAAGAAATACAAAATAAGACAAGCTTTAAATATTGTTTAAGATTCTAACAAAAAAAAAAGAGTGAATACTGTTGATAAGATATTTTGGAATATTGTATATATTATTAATTAGACCAAGGTAAAATTTGGGGGAAAAAGTATTAATGCTTTCTTAATTTTCTTAAAGTGATGAGTACTTTATTTTGGACCAAATTTATTTGACTAAAAATCAATGATATGATGGTTTTTTTAACATATATAAGTATTTTGATATTCGTATTGAAGTTTTCGCAGTATAATATTAATTTAAAAGATTGTTTTCTAGCAAAAAAAATATATATATATTCAAGATTTAAATTTAAAGTTTTTAATTTATTTCATTTATGATTTGACAGTTTTGTTGACAATGTGCATCTGTTTTTGCCACTAGTTGTATGAGAGTAATTAAGAGGAAATAATTTCATGTGAACATAAGATAATGCCTTACAAAGATTTTTTGGTATTAATTTCTAAGATCTCTTATGTTAACACTACAACAAAAAATATATATATATAATTGGTAATAAATTTCATCAACAATATTTATTATCCAAAAAATATTCAACGATAGTTAATATCATTGCATTTAAAATCGCCAAAATATTTAATAACATTTATAAAGAATGTTGATTATAGATACTCTTATTTATAATATAGAGTATATATAACCAACATTCTATTACTTCATTCTAGTTTGAATTGTGTATTGCAATATGCAAAAAGGAGCCCACATTAGGTTTTAGACTTTTAGGAGGAACAATTAAATTATCAACTAACTCATTCAATGTGAATATCGGTATCGATGTGGTCGAGTCAATTTGTGCGCACCTCAATTATTTTATTAAAATCAGTGGTATTTGTCTTTTGGGATTTTTACTAGTATCTGGTTTTCTCATTGGCATCTAACTAAATTCGCATTGAAACACTCTATGACAAAGACGAGTCCATACATATACTCGAGACTTCTTATTAAGGATGAATTTAAACTCGACTAAATTTGAATTTATATTGAGAAGTCCTACATTAAAGAGAAACACTGCTTAACAAAGATGACTTCATACCTAAGGTTCAAATCTAAGACTTTTGAATATGAATGAAATGAAACACGACTAGATTCAAATTTACGTTGGAAAAGCCCTATATTAAGGAGAAATACTCCCTAACAAAGACCACTACATTCCTAAGGGTTCAACTCGAGACCACTGATTAAGCATGAAATGAAACTCGACCAAATACAAATTTATGCTTGGAAGTCCTTTCATTGAAGGGCAAATCCTCTCTAATAAAGACGACTCCATATCTGCTGTATCTAAGACTCAAACCGTAACTCTAATTAAGGATGAATTGAAAGTCAACTCAATTCGAATCTGTGCTAGGAAGTTCTACATTGGAAGGTAAATCCTCTCTAATTAAATACGACTACATACCTAACGCTCGAACTTGAGACTAGTGATTAAGGATGAATGAATACTTATCACTCCACCATCGCAACCTTTGTTGCCCAACAATGTTTAGGCATGTGTTAATAGGATTTGAACCATGATTTTTCATAGTATCATCTTTTCTAGCAATTTGTCTTCTATGCAATTAGCCAATAACTGGAGTAATAGATTAGTTTTTTCTCTGTATAAAGATCACATATTTAGCATAACAATTTACAAAGCACAAGAACCACTAAACAAATGAAGGGTTGCAAGAACTGCATTCAAGAGAAAGGACTTCATTGACATTCTGATGATCATGTACACGAATTAGTCCACAGTTACAACGAGCCACAAGAGCTCGTCTTATGCTTCATCTCAAGTTTTATCGCTTAAAAGCTAGGCTCTTTCCTATACAAAAAGGTTGTCACAGAAGTCACAAGCTGATGATTACTGCGATCCTTGACTTAGGAAAAGGAGGGGACTGCATAAAAAGGCTAATACCTTTACATAAGATGCATCGATGATTCTTAGTTCAAAGGCTGATCATGCTTTCAAGTGACAAAACAAGATTCCAAAGAGGCCAAAGTAGAAAAGGATATCCGGTAGTCAATTCCATTGTTAGCGTGCAAAGATGATTTCATCAACCACGACGAATACTCATGTAGTTGAAGTCATGGTGCTGAACCCCCAACTGTTTTAGCCAAGAATCAGCCACGCTAAAAAGTGACATCAGCCTCTCTTGGTCCCTTCCGCTTCTATCAGAAATCCACACGTCACCCTGCATCTTGTAAGTGGCCAAACCGAAAGGTGGGAGAGAGATGTTCTCCCCTTCCTTTCTTTTCCTACTACAATTCTCCATGTCATCTTCAAGATCCATATCTGGACAAGAGATGAAGGATATGGAGTAAAGAATATTCCGAATAGACACTAGTAGAGTAAAGAATAAAGTTTGGAATTGAAAGGGAATATAAGCAATGGTGAATTCAGTTGTTCAAAGGACAAAAGGAATAATACCTTGGAAAGAAGAAGAAAGGGTGTGGAAAGTGAGAAAGCACGTCAATAAGTCCTTAATGGTTCTCCCCATGGGAATGTGATATATCGGATACCTACAATTTTTTCACCTCAATAA